GAATTGCAGTTCCCAGGGAAGTTACATGTTGTGCCAGAGTTGCTTACAGCTGAATTAGCGCACCATGCAGGTATCTGTTTCTTTTCCACCTAAAAATAAAAAGCGTGAAGGAAATCTGTCACTGTGTAACACAAATTGAACATTTATCTCCTCTTCATCAGTTTATTGGACTGCTTCCTGCAAATTCATGATCTTCATTCCAGAAGTGAGAGGGGTTACAGGGCAGAGAAGGGATTTACTGGCTTTTTGTGCCAATGTAGCTACAGATTCACTTATTTTGTGGATGAAAAGGTCCCAAGCCTAACGCATACTGGTTCTGACCATCTGTCTGATGGGTTTTATTCCTCTGTGGCACTGGCTATGCCTGGTTGTGGCTGCCTCTTCTTTTAGTTTTCGAGCTGATTTGTCGAGGGTCCACTTCTTTTACCTATTCAGGTTATGGTGCTGATGTACATATCTCTCTCCCGGCTGATGGTGGTGCTCTTCTAGACCTGTCTTGGTCTCCTGTGCCAATCTGCTGCCTCCCATCCCCAGGATAGATGTGTCTTATCATTGGGTGAAGCCGTTTTCTGATGGTGGTGTGCGGCTCTGCGTTTCGTGGGAGTTATGTTTATCCAGGGTTTGAGTCTAACCCGTATATAAAAATGTCTGAAGCTCTTTGGGATGAGAAAGGCTTAAAATATTAACACAAATTAACGGCTCCTTCCCTGGCTGGGTGTAAACAGTGAGTCATGTGCCACTTATGGTTTCGCATGTTTAGTCCTATTTCTGTGTGCTTGCAGATTTGTTATTGTTGGGTAAACATGGATCCCAGCAGAGCCCCGAGGCTTCATCAACTGAAAAAGGGAGGGGACGAAAAGACATTGTGTGTGTTATATGTGTTGCCCAAGGTCATGCAGTGAGTCACTGGGAAAGCTGGGCTGAGGTGCTGCGTGTTTCTGGTTCCTTCTTCGTTGTGCTGCGAGGCATCTTTGTTTGCCTGGGTTTTTAATTAACAGTTGTGGCAAATCTATAGTTAACTGTGAAGAGAGTCACGAGTTGTAACAGTGGTTACATCATCCCGATGGCTGTCAGATGTTATGTAAAAATGGAGGAGTGCCCATTTATTAAGTACAGTTATTAAGGGCCCTTGTCCCAAGCACTTAAACTCGGTTTACAAGGACTTCCTTAATGCCCCAGGCAAGACCTTGCCAGTGGAGGGGTGTGAGGGCACGGGCAGGGTGCTCTGACACCATTCTGGTTGCCATGCTGCTATGAGTGCTTGCCTGGCATTTCCAATGCTCCTCTTGCAGAAGGACACACTTCCCACTCCATCACTTGATGCCCAGGGATTTGGATAGGTTTTATTCGAATTTCCACTTCAAAACCAGCCCTACAATTTAAATACTTGAAAGTTTAATAATGGAAAGTTTAGTTCTGAACGTGGCAATGTTATTTTTAAGAGTCTTGTAGAGAGAAAACCCACAAATTTGAAGTCACTGCAATGCATGTATTCATCATAAATTCTTAATGGCATTTACTTGTAGAGTCACTAATGAGAGTATTTACTTGCAATGCTGTTAGTGTGCTCTGCACCACACTGCGGATTTATGAGGAATAGCATTTCAAGCAGTACAAAACCCCTTTCATTTACCATGCAGACTCGCAGACATTGGAGCTCTTTTTAAAGTGAGCTCAGCATCCCTCCTGTCCTTGAAGTGTTGCAGATACCCGTGTGGGTGGTCCTCTCATCCCCTCCACATGGCATGGGGCTTGTAACAGGTAAAAATTAATTCCTAGTTAGCAGAAGATGACGAATCAAATGCATTAGTTACATTTGCAGTGATCTCAGTATAGTGTATTTTTATATGAGGCTAGATCTCTTCTAGAAATGTACTGCACAGAGAACGCATTTTCCAAAGCCATGTTTCATAATATCTGTAGAGCAAGGCAATTTTTGCAATTGATTTTTGTTCCTAGCAAAGGAAAGGTTAGCCATACTCTTTCCAGAAGGCGCGTTGGATCACAGGGATGACCTACAGCCAATCCGTACAGCATTAGACTTTGAACTGGAGCCGAGCTAGTATGGGCACGGGCTCGAAAACTCAGCACAATCAAAAGTAATTGTGTTAGTCAGAGATTATTCATGTTTTTTCTTTCTGCTGCCAATGCGATTTTGGCTTCGTGACTGTTTTTATAACTCAGGAACATTGTATAAATCTTTAACTTTCTACAAGACCAAATCTTTTTTTTTTTCTATTAATGAAAAAAATTCTGTTTTCATTTGCTTGTCTATTTGCTGATAAATGTCAACAAAAAGCCACTTTTTGTGTGTGTGGCTTGTTTTGTTTTTTTTAAATCAGGAAAAGCAGTGCTGAAAAGAGATGTACTTCTCGACCAACAACATCTTGCAAACACGTGCTACGTCAGCTTAACAGCATCTGGCGAGAGAAGGAAGGGGCAGGGTGCTCCCTCCATCCAAACAATACCCATCTGGGGCTGTTTGTGTTGCATACGCTGCATGCTTCCCAGCACAGCTCATTCGTAGCTGCCTCTTCCCGCTGTGCTGGAGAGGTCCCTTGGAGTCAGGGCTGTGGTCCGAGATCGGGAACCGCTCAGCAGTGTTGCCTTGGGATGCTGCTGCATCTCGGGGAAGCTGGGTACCGCCATTGAACCCTTCTCAGAATTCAACCACGGCCTTTGTTGGGTTCATCTATGGCTATGGCAATCATAGGGACCACGGGTAATTATTATTTAATAGTAGGGCATAGCTTTTTGTGGAAACTTTCCTCAGAAAGATATTAGAAAGTTCTTCTCCTTGCTACATTGCCCACTCTGTTGCTCTTCCAGCTGATTCTGTTTAACAAGCAGTTGGTTAATTATTTTCTTGCTGTCTGGAGACTAAAGGATAAGTTTCCAAAGAGCATCTTATCCTGTCTGGGCTTTGGCAATGAGTTTTACTGAAACAGTCTGTTCATCTGAGTACAGTTTTGCTGGTGGACTTGTTACAAAGGATATGCAGGATCAGACTTGTTAAATATTAAAACCATAACGTCTGTGTTTGCAGCAACATATAGTGATGATGTATGTCTTTCATTTTTTACTTTTTACCCTACAGACATTGCGTATCTCCTAGGACATTTGAAATAAAACTGTAGGTGAAAAATACAAGGGTTATCTTATATCTGTGGACTTTTGTCCCTAAAGGTCACTTATCAATAGAGGCTTTCAAACAGCTGGTGACAGGAGACCCCTAGAGAGCAAGCCCTTGATTTCAAATTTAAACATTTAGTATTTTCTCTTTTTGCCAAAATTTAGTAATGATTCAGCTTCTGTTAACTCCTGAAACAGAATTATCACTAACTTGGGAATCGGTACAAATAATCAGGGCTTGATAAATATTGTAGCCTTGTTTCTTTGCTATGCGAGCACACAGTATACAGCTTTATGTTCCCATCATATACAGACACATAAACCTGTGCTTTGGAACAGGTATAGGATGAAAAAGGCACCTTTACAAATTTTCCAGAATGAATGCCAAGACAAGGTATTAGGCCAATTTGTACCTTCATTTTAGGTACACAGCTCAAGAATGCCTTGAAGGTACCCTGTGTTTTAATAAAGTGACTATGTGACCAACTCCTTGCAAATTGGTTTAAATGAATCTTTAGGTAGGGCTTTTTGAAAGTTTCTTCTGATGCCTTTTCCTTTGGGGCCAGGTTTGTTGAGCTAAGGAAAGCATTTTGAAGTGGGATGAGCTTGCAGGAAAGCTATGTTAAAGTTAGATTTGCCAAGCAAAAGATGAATCCCTTCAGACTTCTGGTTTGATTTAGGGTTCAGTAACCTCCAGATCCTAAAGTCACAATTTATACGTGTCCAGGTGCATTGATGTTAACTGAAATATTCTAGTGACGTGGTTAAACATGTAGTTAAAAACCCGAGGAGGGTCAGGATCATTTGGACAACAGATTAAACATAAAAGGAGTAAAAAAAGGTGTAACATCAATGAAAGTCTGAATTTTAAACATGCAAAGCAAAGGAGAAATGGAGCTCAATGTGTATTTTACAGGCAGGTGATAAATAAAGGCAAAGGTATTATTTGAAATATGATTTATTTCAGAACACTGTTCTTAAATCCTTGGTGAGCAGGAGGCCTGAAGAGCTTCTGAGCTGTTTTCTGATTGCTGTGGGGGGTTGCTGGTCCAGTTTGAATCCTCTGTTAGCCCCTCAGTTCAGTTCCTGTGCAGATACACCATGTCTTGGGGAAACCAGTCTCAGTTCCCTTGATCCATTGCATTGACAAGGATGTGTGGATCCAACCTTCCCTTTTTTTTTTAATTGCTGTAAATTGCAGTGATCTCTATTGATGATGGATTTTATGAATGTTTTGTGCCCTAGTGGGAATGTCTTCAATAACATGCTAGCTCATATGTTTAGAGATAAGATCTTGAAAGGAAAATGTAATGGTATCCCCTGCTGTCATAACAGAAAAATCCCATCAAGTCTTTAAATCCTAACATTGTCAGGAGATACCAGTGTATGTAGGAGGCAATATAACTATTTAGAAGAGATACTCTATTGAATAAAAAGTAAGATGAAACATCAGTTGGTGTCTTAGGAGAATATAAAATGCTTTTAACTATACATGTGTATGTTTGATAGGCTTCAGCTGTTGCTTTCGTGACTCTTTAGTGTTCACTCTTAACCTGTATTATTTTTTACTTCAGCAGCTGTTGGTTAATTATTTCAAGAAGCTGTTGGAAACAACTCCTTCCTAGTATCATCAGATGTCTGCTTTGTACAGCAGAGCATAAATATTCCTTTGGTCTTTTTACTTTTGATTTAATGGGTACCTGTTGTGCAAAAAGTACTCCTACAGTCCAAAGAGCCCACTCTTTGGAGCAGAAGTTTGTTGAGATGTTTGTGTACAGAGCCACATGAACTATTCAAAGAAAACAGAGTTAGTAAAGTCCCCAAGGGATAAAAGCCTCTCTTTTTTTCCTGTGCTCTATGTGTCGTAGCGCCTTATCAACATCTGAATTTTTCTAAGTTCTTTTTAATTTATTTTAATTTGCAGGGTAAATTGCCAGTTCTTCTGCTGGGCCAGTCTGCAGACTTGAGGCCAGGAGAGTTTGTGGTGGCGATTGGAAGTCCCTTTTCCCTTCAAAACACGGTGACGACGGGCATCGTCAGTACCACGCAGCGCGGAGGGAAGGAGCTGGGGCTCCGCAACTCCGACATGGACTACATTCAGACAGACGCCATCATCAACGTACGTCCTGCTCTGAGCTGCATCTCCTTCAGCTCTTACATTTTTTGAATAGTTGCTCTGAAAACATCGCCAGTGATCCAGTTCTTAGGAACAGTGAGCGTAGCTGGCTTTTCTTTTATCCGTGTAAATATGGACATCTGCGGTGCAGCAGCACTTGATTACTGTTTGAAAAATCCCCCAAGGAACCACACCAAGTACAATATCTGCCTTCACTTCAACATTCTTACAGATTACAAGGGAGGAGGCATATTCTCTGGCAAATAAGGGTCTTTTCAAAATCCATCGTGTATTCTTAAAAAGAAGCCAGGCTTAGTTTAAGGATTCAAATTTGTTTCTGCGTTAAGGCAAAACAATAGTTTTTGTAATTCTACTGTTGGTCTTGTAAGAAATCTTCGCTAACAAAGACAAACCTTGGCTTTCTTAAGTTGCTCTGGCAAGAGAAGAATGACTAAGCCTTTGCAAAGCTCAGCTAAAAGGAGTGATATTAAGTGTAGTTAATGGGTTTGGATGTTAAGATTTCTATTGCACGTGTTTAATAGACAATGAAAAAACTGCTACAGAAGTATGTCAAAAATTTCTTTTATGTTTCGCATGCCGTGAATTAAGAGGTAATAGTTTTAATAATTCTACTGCTGGTCTTGTAAGAAATCTTCGCTAACAGCTCCCAGAGCTGTCCTAAAATCTTCTAAGTTGCTGGTGTGGTGCTATTAAAACAAAAGACAAACCTTGGCTTTCTTAAGTTGCTCTGGCAAGAGAAGAATGACTAAGCCTTTGCAAAGCTCAGCTAAAAGGAGTGATATTAAGTGTAGTTAATGGGTTTGGATGTTAAGATTTCTATTGCACGTGTTTAATAGACAATGAAAAAACTGCTACAGAAGTATGTCAAAAATTTCTTTTATGTTTCGCATGCCGTGAATTAAGAGGTAGATACTAAAACACGTTCTTGCCGTGTGTTTACTTTCAGTATGGAAACTCCGGAGGACCCCTAGTAAATCTGGTAAGAGTTTCTTCAAGTTTGCTCGGTGTCAGATTTATGACTTTTTTTACTTAGTAGTTTAAAAATAAAACAAAAATCCCCACCCAGGCCAACGAACAAGCAGTGCCCCACACCAGAAGTGATTTAGAGCTTTCGATATCTGGCTGACTACACAAAATTCACATGGTTCTTACTAATCATTTGTCTGTGTTTATGTTGGCAAATCACAGGATATGGTTGGATTTCAATATTTAAGGTGTTTATGGTTTGCATAGTTCTGAACAAGTGTAATGCCCATTTTTTTTTTTGCACTTTGCAAGAAGTAAAAAGCACATTTTAAAGTTGAGGTGCTTGCCCTCACTTTATACTATGCAGCTGGCGGTATATTTTGCATACTGAAACTCAGTTTAATGTTTCAAAAACCATATATGTACCACTTTATTTTGAATCACACTGAGCAGGTAGAAAAACCCATGCATTTTATCAGGATATCAGGGTTTATTTGGTGATACTGTAGAACATAGTGAGAGCTGACCTTGCAGCAGCTGTGGATAAGCCCGAGAGAGAAGAACTGGAACAGGTTGCAAAACCCAGCTGCTCTCAGATGGTGGGGGTGCATGGGGTCGAATGGAGGAGATGCAGTGGGCCTCAATGAGGGACGGCACAAATTGGAAGAAGGAGCTACTCGGAGTTTCCACCTTGGAGATTTGGCTGGTTTTTTCCATGTGGCTCGCAGTACAATTTCAGCACCAGTAACCTCCTTTTAAATATTTCCAGTTGGGTAGTTTTTATCTGGGGGAGATGAGGGAAGGAAGCTGCTGAGGTTTCAGAAGTGTTCGAATCATCCGGTGACAGCAGAGATGTTTCATCTGAAACTCTCTCTTGGGGTCACATTACCAGGAAAAGCTTTTGATTTCGGTGAACTGTCATTTTTCTTTATGTTATTATGCAATATTTGCTGAGAACCGGTCAGCACTGTGTTTTGTGAGGGGCCTACTGAAGTAAACAGCCTGAAATTGCCTGTAGAATACTCCTGCAAGCAGGAGAGTTGCCTAATTCTGATCTGTCTTCTGCTAGTGGCAGTGTAATATCCACAGCGATTCTCCAAAGTTGTGAAATAGTTTTTTATCGATAGATTCAGAGAAATTACACTTTAAGAAACCATTTAGAAAATTGAAAACCAGCTGCAGAATGTGTTGTATGAATTAATCTATGTGATCTCTTGAGAAGAAATAATCTATTTCACATTTGCTAATAACAACTTCTTATTTCTCCAGGATGGTGAAGTCATAGGAATCAACACATTAAAAGTTACAGCAGGGATCTCGTTTGCGATCCCATCAGATAAAATCAAGAAGTTCCTAACTGAATCCCATGACAGACAAGCTAAAGGTACTGTATTTCATCACTCTGAAAGAGAAGAACATGACAACAGGAATAAATCAGAAAATCAACAGCCTTTGGGTCAATTTTGTTCGAGAGACTTGACCAAACAGGCAGTTGATCAAGACCTGTTTTCTTCTTTGCAGGAAAAGCTGTAACCAGAAAGAAATACATTGGCATTCGAATGATGTCCCTAACTCCTAGGTAAGTAAAAGCGGGGGTTCCTCACCTTGCCGAAGTGCGGGCACTGCATGCGTTTGGATCGCGCTCACGGTCTGCAGAAACAACCAGGAGGGCGAAGCGTCAGCCTGTGCCTCTGTAGGTACCTCTGACAATTCAGCCAGCTTTTGCTTGCTTTTTCTCTGCATCTGCTACGTGGCTGGACTCTTCTGTAGCCTCTTGTGTGCGCTAGCTTTTAAATAACACCCTGGCTTTTTCTTTTCCTTAATGCTTCAGAAGAGATTAGCTAGTGATTGCTAATTTGTCCTGGGGCTCTATTACTGTTGTTACCATCTGTCCCATGGGTCAAGGAGAAGACAGGACAGTATGTTTTCAAGAATTCCAGCAGCTACGCGCTTCTTTCCATTTCTGTACAATTACTTTCATTAAACAATTCACTTAATGTAAAATGAAGCTTTTGTGTGGACTTGCTTATTCGTACTCAAACCAGAAAAGACTCGTGAGCAGGTGATGCTGCGTCCTGTAGAAATAACCAGAAGTCTTCTCATGTGCAGGATCAGGGGTGTAACAAAGCATTGAAAACTGAAGGGGTTTATCGAGGTGTTCAGGATCTGCTAGTTCTAAAGTAATGACTAAGTTTTGAAATGTTTTCACCCTGATCCTCTGTGTCTATTGATGTGATTGTCTTTGCCAGAAATAGGCATTAAAAAGCTGTATGCCTGCAAAAATTTTAACAATTCTTGAAATAATTGTAAAGGTTAAAATTAATAGTAGAGTGTCGCATCAACATGTGTAAAATACCTCAGCTAGTGAATGTTGAGTGAGTTAACTAAGTAAAAATGCACGATTATTTCAATTTTCCTATCTTGTCAAAATACTTTTGCTGCTGTTTCTTCATTTTCCAGCAAAGCTAGAGAGCTGAAGGATCGCCATAAAGACTTTCCTGATGTTGTCTCTGGGGCCTACGTTATTGAAGTAATTCCAGAAACACCAGCTGAAGTGTAAGTTGAACTCCTTTTTTCTCAAAAGCACTGCCACTGACTTAAGGGGGTAATGATGCAGAATGTTCCCTGCTTAGCTGGCTATCTTGATTATGCTAAATGAAGAAAATTATGACCATCTGATAGCTATTAGGTTGTCTGCTGGAAATCAGTTTGTGGTTTCAGTCCAGTCCCCGATGGGTAATATTGTGAACGTATCAGGGTATTGCAGCAAAGCCCTGTCAGCGTTCCCAGCTGAAAGGGCAAGGATTCAGCGGGCATGGAAGCTCAATTTTCATTTTCCTCAGCAATTGCTTCCAAGACATCTGTTGTACCGAAGCCAGCGCTCAATAAAGACGTTTGCTTGAGCGTGCTCCTCGTGGCCCTGCTGGTTACTCCTGAAGGGAGAGCAAGGGAGAAGCTTTGTGTCCACCTTGTGAAGACGTGTCAGTCTCTGCCTGAGCGCCTCAGTGGTGGGCAAACCCATCGTGGGTGAAAGACTCCTGGACAGGAGACACTTTTCCATGTGAGACCTTTGTCAGGAATCACGTTACTGGGAAGAGCTTCTGGTTTAGGTCAACTGATCTTCTTCTTCACATTATTCTGTATTTGGTCAGACCCTCACGGGCTGGTTGGTACCATGCGTCACAAGATGGGTAAAGTGTGGCATCTGGTCTGTGGTCACTGGCACTGGCCTGGCTGGCTCTTGCTGGAAATACTTTCCCTTCAGAGTCTGGTTAATATAAAACCACTCAGTAATCCAGGGTAGGAAACATTATTTTCTGAATCTAGAAGAGAAGAGTAAATCTTTGTGGCAAGGAAGAGGCATATGTAGCACCAAGGACATGCAGGCAGAAAGCTCCTTGGAGCAGGCATATGTTATCTCCTAGGGTGACTGCAAGGATGGTTGGATGATATCTTTTTTGTTATGGTTTGAATGCCACTGTAAGATGTAAAGTGTTGGCTGGCTGGCTTGCTTTCTAAATTGCTGCTGCTTTGTGCAGATAAGTCTTGTTGGCAGCACTGGTCATGCAGAATAGTGATGTATCTGTAATGTGAAATCAGTCTGCAGTTACTGGAGGAATGAATCAGTGTGGGACTGAACTTACTGCCTTGACATGCAGGTCCAGTCTGAAGGTGCAGAAAAATTATAGGAGTATGGATGATAGATAGTAGTGAGTGGAAGAGGGATATTAGAGAGGTATAAGAAATGTGAGGCAACGTAGCCTCATAACTTGATGGCAAACTCAAATCAAGATGCTTCGCAGCCCATGTTTCCTCTGTCTCCCCCACTCCTGGTCTCCTTCCCTGTGGGTTTCCCCATTTTGCTGATTTATTCTCCGATGCACCTTGTGTAGATGGGTAGGGGATCAGAGCAGTTCTGCAGCGACCTGTCCTGGGAACGAGTTGAGAGGAGAGGCTATTGAAGAGACCAAGATAATCTGGAATGGCTTGTCCCATTAAAAAGTTTTAAGCCAGCCCTTCGGTAGGCAACCGGGTTTATTGCAAATGTTGGCCAAGGCATCTTGCTTGCAGGAGACATTCATGTAAGACGCCTTCTGCGGGCGGAAGAGGCCAATGTCTGCTCTGTGGTTTTGTGAAGAAGGATTATGCTAAAGGGCTGAATCATGTCTCATCTGGTTACTTGGTTAATATTTACATAACTTGGAGCCAGATCATTGTGCAAGACAGGGCAAGAAGTTGTGGTGGATGGTATCCCTCACCACCCCCTTTCTTGGTCCTGGCAGCAGTCTCAGCCAGCTTGAGGAGAGACCCATGACTCTGGGCACAGGACCCTTGTGATGCTGGCTCCGGTTCTGCCCCATCTCGCTTTGAGTCAGGAGTGCTTTGGTTTTGGTTTGCATGTGGTGCTGAGGTCAGGAGATGGGGTTCTGGGGCGTATGGGCAGGGTGAGGGACATGTGTGAATTTTTGTTGACTGGGCTAGACAAGGAATAACAGTTTTAAAATGAGAGTGAGACATTAGGAAGAAATTATTTTCTCTGCGAATAGTGAGGCCCTGGTCCAGGTTGCCCAGAGAAGCTGTGGGTGCCCCCTCTTTGGCAGTGCCCAAGGCCAGGTTGGACGGGGCTTGGAGCAGCCTGGGCTGGTGGAGGTGTCCCTGCCCATGTGGAGTTGGACTTGGGGGCTTTAAAGTCCCTTCCAACCCAAACCATGCTGTGATTCAGATTGTTTTGCTATGCACACATGAATAAAAGCTTGGAAAATTTCCCTTCAAAAATATGGGCCTTTTTGCAATTATTTTAAAACTATGCCTCTATCTTTTCTACCGAATCAACCTCTAGGATCCTTGTTGCAGAATTATTGCACTATTTGCAATAGTTAATTCCTTTGAAGACAGTGAAATATGGGATTCATCAGATGTGAACCTCCATCTGATTTCTGAGTTTTCTACATTGTATTGTAATCTTCACTGCTTCATAAATTCTGATTGCTTTTTGCATGCCCGCTGTGTCTCTGTGCAACTGTTGTTGGGTGGGAAATAGAAAAAAATCCAGCAATATTTCTTTCTTTTAACAGTATTGTAAAGGCAATAAAATGACAATAATAATACATTGCTGCTCTGTATTTTCAGTGGTGGCCTGAAGGACAACGATGTGATTATAAGCATCAATGGACAGTCGATAAGCTCAGCCAGTGATGTCAGTGACATTATTAAAAAGGACAGTACGTTGAACATGGTCGTACGCAGGGGCAACGAAGACGTTATGTTAACAGTAGTTCCTGAAGAAATCGATCCCTAACCAGAAACATGAGCTGGATTTCATGTTTTCTTTTAACAGCATTGGACTGCTTCTCTTCTCTCTGTGCTGGTACAGGAAACATTAGACTTCTGACCAACATTCTGCTTGTTCAGTGGATTAGTATTGGCCGACAGAGTAACTTCTACTAGGTTTAAGGTGCAAAATCAGTGTAATTTCACATACTCCAGATGATAATTTTTTTCCTTCTGTATTATGTATGCAATGTATTCTTTACTGGCTGTTACATTCCCCGCTTAACAAATCGACGTTTGCTTCCCCGTCTTGAATAGATTTACCATTATTTCTGCTAAGATTTAAACAAAACCCACGCACACAATGTGTGTTGTGGTATTCAGGTATTTATAGGTTAGCTGTGTTTTAACTGGAAATGCCATTGTAAAGGAGTAGTTGGTTTAAAAGAAAACACAATTGGGAAAAGAAAAGTTTTGTTTATAAACTCAAAGAAATCCCAGCCAAAATAACCCTTTGAGGATCCCGTGCAGGATTTTAATACTATGATATTTTCCTAGTGTTATTAAAAGAATTCAACAGTACTTCTTGTGTGTCATTCCTTTTACTTCCCCTTATGGAGTGTTTTTCTTTGCACAGCACATCTGACTTAAAGGATGTCCTGATGGTCTCCTTTTTATTATGCTAAACCAAAACACTTATTTTTTTGGTATGTGCTTGTTTTTGCTCTCTTGTGCATCTGCTTTACTTAGCACAGCTGGCTTGAATTTGTCATATTGGCTATTGCAGATTGCCTGTTTCCCACATGTTAATCCATTTTCCTACATTGTTTTAATTACAACTTCACTGATACCTGAAATCTGTTTGCCCACTACATAAATCGTCATATTGTGGATCACTTATATTGTGGACCTGGTTTTGACTGGGATATTGGGCATTCCTCTAACATAGAGGCTGACGTTTATAAATAGATTTATGGATGCCCTTGAAGCTTGGGTAGTTAATGGGACTGTCTTACTGTGAAGGAGAACAATCAACTACATTTAATTACAGTGTAATTACTCATGGGTATACAATAGGCTGAGCAGCATTTGCTTTCCTCTGTTGAAATATGTATCTGGGAGAGTAAATCCAAGGGCTATAGACAAGTTTTGGTGGCTGTGATTGCTAAACATGCTTTTCTTTTGGAAACTGCTTCCTAGGAGAACTCTTCAACTCCTGTATCCCCGAGTGCCAGTGCCTGCCCTTGCTCACCTGGATCACTCGCTATAAATTTACACATCATAGTGTATTGACACTTGACTGAACACCTCATTACTGAGTCACTTGTTCCTTTGCTGAGGTAAATCGCACATATCTGAACTTGTGCCAAAATACTGTGGTGCCAAGTCCTGAAGGTCTGCAATACTTCCTAGCATGAATGATGCAAAGTAGAATGATCTTGTAGAGTTGCTTTGTAGTCGATTTGCACTGCAAATTAGTCTTACTTATGCTGATTAATGTTTCACCTTCCTGTTGAAGTGGTATTATATGCTGCAGACCATGTGTGCCCTGTGTGGTGCCATACAGCTCTCAGCAAAAAAAAACAGATTAAAAAATCACATACCTTCTCTGCTACTGCATCTAACCCAATAGGAAAAGCTAGGCTAAAGCCTCAAAGCCAGGAAATTGTGCTTAGAACAGAGTTCGCTTTTGGTCTGCCTTTTAATTTCAAAACAAACGGTTGCATAATTTACAAAGCTGTTTGATTCTCTTTGTTCCTGTTGTTTGTTGTTGTCTCTTAATATGCAAAGCTGTTATGGTTTTTGTTTGGATTCTAGCTGGTTACTTTGTGCTTCCTTGCATTTCCTTGCAATCACAGCTGGCACATCACATCTTCATGCCTGTGCTTTACACAGATACTATGGATAAATGCCACAGGACAGTGGCTCAGGTTTGTGTGCGTGAATTAGGGAAGAGCCAAATGAAGGTGACTTCTGTAAATGGTCTTCATACCCACTGGGATGAGGGAAATGTTTGCCCAGGTTCCTAGACTGTGTAGTCTAGGCCCGTAGCTCCATCTAGTGGGATGTGAGATGGTCTCTTACTGCAGCCAGTCATTTTCCGTCTTATATTTAAAGCGGTTTTCTGATTTGTCTTTTTAAAATTATTTATAATTAATTTATTTGCATTAGAACCACTTGCAGAATGTTTAGAATTTACTCTTCTACTATCCAATCATGGTTGCAGCAACCCAGATGTATTCTGACGATTAAAATTGTCTCAAAATGTTCTGTTAAGTCTTTAAAATAAGATTACTGACAAGCAGAGACGCAGAGGCAGTTTGTCTTTAATACAATTAATTAGCATGTATTTTTGCTGTATTATTGACTTATAGATTTGGAATGGGTTTTATTCTTTGTTGCTTCAATGCACAGTTCTTTCCAAAGTGCAACCGAAAAGACATTGTACAGAATAGCTTTGGCACAGCTTGTATAAATATCAGTTTCCTGGAAATCTAGCAAGTGTTGGACGTTAAATCAGGGAAATTGGATGTTCTTGCTTGATCTTCAGTATTTTGGAATGTCTGAAATGGAAACTGGAGTTGCTGCGTATGTGATGCTGAGTAGATGGCTTCGTGTGGCTGCACTCGGAGGTCGTTTTGAAAAGCTACTTCACTTATTCCATGAGAGAAATGTCTCGAGTTGTAAAAGAAATGATCATGACTAACAATTGCCTGGTTTCTGTGGCTTATATGCCAAGCAGTAAGGTCCTGTGGTTTCAATACCAGGGAACTTTTTTTTCTTTTATTTTTTCCCCTCCTCCCTCCCCATAACTATTTTCTACTTATGTTAAGGAAGCTGAGAATGTTTTTAAAATGTCATCTTTCCCAATTGCAGTGAGAGAGACATCTAGCAAGGCATTAGAGAATATACATGTCCTTACTGTATATCAGAAAAATACTATAAAGATGATTAAAGTTTTAGTTTAAAAAATCCAGGAGAAATATTGGTGATCAAGAAGTAGGCACCAGTCCAGAGCGGTGAATGAGTGCCACTGAGTATTTATTTGCATGCAATGGTGTGTCATTGCACGGGTCCTTTTCAACCTTAGAATAAAAACATGTTCATTTGCAGTTCCAGGAATCTTCTTGATTGAATTATATATTCCTCCTGTTCCTAAGTTTCTGTATTATTTCCCACTATTTCCTCTTCCACCCAGGAAACGTGGATGTGACTTGGCATCCTTGACTCAGTTTCCCCCCTCACTTTGCTCTAACTCCCTCCGCATTGGTACTGCTGGTGACTGCCAGCAAAAGGAACCCAAAATTTCACCCTGGGCTGATGTTTAGTCAGACCTTGGAGTGAAATGTCAGTGAGGTATGAGGCTTTCTTGACACAGAGCAGTAGAAATGTCCCTAAGAGATGGGAAGAAGCCAGGCAGAGAAGTGATGGTTAAAGATTTGCCTCATCATGTTGTACCCTTGGCATTAGGATGCCAACCTCAGCTCAGCAACCTCCCATCCAGACCTCAAAATTCAGCATTGGATAAAGGTCTCTGGAGGCGATGGGATTGGTAGCATCACTCCTAATGTGAAGGCCATTTTGCTCCCCTTGACCCTCAAACTCCATTCTCTTGTGCAAGATGCTGGGGAGTCAGGGCTGGACCCACTGGGCCCCAGGATTTCAGCCAGTTTGGCCTCTTTACACCATTACTCTGTGAAAATGCAATAACTTGGTTTGTTAAATGTTATTTATTGCACAAAATTACTGCTAAAACCACTGCATATGTAATTTGACTAATTGGACAGAGCAAGTGAGGAAGGAAGCTACCAGAGCAGCTGATCAATTCAATCTATCTGCATTTTCTGGAACATTTTCCTCCTATTTTTATGGTTGTTTCATAGTTGTGGTACTGCAGTATCTGTGCCCATAAACTCTGGGGAAGCGGATAATAATTAGGAATTGATTAGAGAGAAAATGAGTCAGAGCTGAAGTGTGGGAGTCAAATTTACTGAATTTGGTCAGGAATTAACTTTAGCAGCTTGGAAATACTGTGTAATATGCTGGAGAGGAAAATTAAATATTTGTTCTATTCATTCCTTTTCTGTTCAGTGTTTATGTGGGAGAGCACAGTGATTTTTCAGAAAGTTTGCAATGTGAATAGATGAGGGGGATGGAGTGTGTTACAGCAGTCTATGGGCTTCGGGTGCTGTGCAGGGGTCCATCTTAGTAATAAAACCAGATCAGTCTCCCCTTCTTCCACTCCATTCTTTCCATCATTTTAATTGATATTCACTGCTTTTTTTTCTAGGTTTATACCTTTAATTGCTATTAAATCAAACAGGCTTATCATGACACTGATCATCCACTATTTTTTGTGATTTTCTGTGCTCCCTTGCTTCCATTTGAAGCCCCATAGCATGGAGAGCTTGAGCACCGTTACTCGGGACTAATGAATCCCATCTTCTTTTGAACTCCAAGGTAACCTTGCAAACTCAGATCTTTTCCAGCTGATGCCTTTCTTGCAGTGCTTGTACAAGAAGCAAAATTCTGCATCATCCTGCTCTCCCTGTTGAATTTTTGGGGCAAATCTCACACACACAGGGTTGTTGCATTTCTTCTGTCTCCTGTTTGCAGGCGATGGCCACTGCCAGTGGAAACGTGGCTTTCCTTTCCCCTCCAAAATGGAGCTAAGGGTGTGGATCACCGCTCTGCAGAGGCAAATACAGGTGTGAGGAGTTATTAGTTGAGAAAGCTGTGATTTGGGCTGTGTCCCAGCAATAGCTGTGGGGTCTTGCTGTGTCTTCCTGACTGCCCCTATTTCCCCCTGAAAGCCTAGAGAGAAGCAAGAGCCTATGGGGCTCACTTATGGGAGAAATAGGTACTTCTAAGTACCTTTGGTCAGGTGAAGTCCACAAGAGGGCGAATTGAAGCTAAAAAGCTCAACACCATCCTCTGTAGGTGCTGCGTCTGGGCGTTGCACTGTGATTATCAAGCACCTTCTGCTGGTGCTGCGTACGGTGGTGCTGAGTGGGGGTGACCACCCATGGAAGGAGGTGATGCAGGGGGACAGCAGATGTCCATGGAAGTTTGAGTTGAATGGTCAGAAAAAAGAGCTGCAAATTTTTCTTGTGATTGAGTTGATTCCAACTTTCTGAGGGACTGGGCAGGTCTGGCAAGGAAAGAGTAGGTTTTTGTCCTCATTTAGGATAAGTTCAGGTGTCTGGCAAGGAAGGAGAGTTGACTGGATTGGAAACCTAGGAAGTTTCAGGATGCTGTGACTGGTTTAAAATCCTGCACAGCTTTGCTCGCATAGGGAAAAAAACCCTCAAACCTACAAGTCAACCAGAAACGGGCAAATACAACAGAAAATAAGTTCTAGCTGTCACCCCCTGGTGCAAAATGCACCTGTAATAAAACATATCTGTAATTAACAGGAGAATGAGGGTACCTTTCCTCAAGACAGTATCTTGCTGGAAAAGAAGAGTATTGGTGAGGCTGGGGGAGGCTGAGAACTCAAATGCAACTGGAATTGCTGAATGCATTTGTGGCAGCGCAATCACAACAGTACTCAAGTATGAGATGGGGTTGGTGGGACTGAG